AAGGGAGACCAGCAGCCTAACCAGTTCAATTCTCCTTTCTCTGTACATTTAAAAAGTCATACTTAAGCTGTTTGTTTTGATTATTTCTTTGGCGCACTTTGGCCTCACTTGTGGTTATGTGGAGCAGTTTAAAGAGTTATGTTAAGGAAAAGTGTCTTTGCATTTAATACGATGGTACCACTTATGGGGACAAACAGTCGTAAGTTCCCGAGCTCTTGTTCATGTCACAAATGGCTCCTGGGATGCATAGTGTCAGCTAGCTGAAAGGGCTTCACTGCGACTGCATTAATCCCATTCGCTCTAAAGGAGTTTCTTCCACCATCGCCAGGACAGGTGGTTCCCAACTCTCAGGATTTGCTCCCCGCCCAGCCCCCCAGCTATGGGTCGCTTTACCGTGGCCTCCATCACAGCACTGAGCAGCCTGGGGCCATGAATCTTGGTGAATGGCTGTGCCCTCTGTGAAGAAACCAGAGGCATTCTGAACATTTGCGATGAGCAAGCGGGGCTTTCCTGCTCCTGCCACCATGGTCGATCGTTTATGTGCTGCACATCGTCACGCGATGACAGAAATGGTCTTCCCTCTGTGCACGTGAGGGAAGAGGTTCCAGCAAATGAATACTCACCAGCCACAGGACGCCGTTTAACGAAGAGCATGAGCAACGTGGACCCCCTCCGAGCAGGAAGTGTGGGATGAAAGGGAGCATTGGCTGTTTCCCATGGGCCATGCGCACATTCTCTTACTCTGTTCAAGCCTTGTCCGTCACTGTCTCGGCAAAAGGCAAAGCAAGGAAGGTTGTTACCTGGGACTGAGGACAGATGCTACGGCCTTTCTTCTGGATGAACGTGTTTTGCAGGAGAGGTGGCTTTTGGGCTCTGCCCAGTGTGCTCTGGCATCAGGGAAAGGATCCGTCGTTCAAAATACTTGTTAAATCTGTGGCTGGTACCTGGGTACCATCTTACCAGGCTGCTGTCTCCCGTGGAGTGTTCCTTTAAGAGGAACCTGAGGCTCCAGACCTGGGGCTTGCTGTGGCCCTGGCCTGGGCCACGCTCCAGTGTGCTGCTGCCTGCTTCCGCGGGTGGAAACGGACCAGTTTTGCATGGTGTGGTGGGTAGGGAATTGCCAGTTTCCTTGTGGAGAGACAGACCTGGCCTGCAGGAGAGAGGACTGCGTTTGCATTTTGGTTGACCTGATGGAGGCAGGGGTGGCTTCTTGGTGCGCAGGATGTCTCTGGAATGAGGGTATGAGTGAGGGATCAGAAGGCTGACCAGACCTGCTGCTTTGCCGGCAACAGCCCCAGTTAATTCCTGTTGACCTCTCTTACCAAACTATCAAATGCATCCCTTTCATACGTACAAGCGTCCTGGTTTGGATGATAAGTCATATGATCATCCTACATGTTAAGGAATCTTGACTGTTTACTTTACCACCCTCTCTTGACCTTGCATTTTGAGTCTTGCTTTATTTCAATCTCTTATTATTCAATGCAAAGATAACAAAAGTAAAAACAAACAAATAATATATGCATATCGAAAAAAATAGCAAGAAAGATAGAAAAAGAAGGTAAATGGATCGCTTGCCGTCTACTTACATATATAGGAAATAAAGTAGTTGCATCCGTAAGTTGTTAAGTGTCTAGAGTGGCTCTAAGCCTGTGCTATCATTGTCTTCAAGAACGATGAGAATGAACACTTCCCCGTTTACCCAGGGCCGACAGGAATTGGGACAACTCTTGTGAGCGGGAGAGCAGCCCAGCAAAACCTGTTTGTAGGCCTGCTGGGCGCGTGGCTCCGGCAGACAGGAGTAAACGTTTCAGGGCCGAGGGTCTGGTCCAGGTTCTGGAGATTTGCTGCGAGTTCAGAGCACAGGTGTTGTTGTGAGGACTCGACTCCACATTCTCTGAGTTTCCAAGTTCTCTGGGCCACACGGCTGATGGAAGAGCCCTTGTGTTCTGTCCTCTCTGCTGGCCCCAGCCTTGGGTTGGGGTCCCAGCTCTGGGTGCAGAGGGCTTGCAGAGGAGAACTGCGGAGCCTGCCCCCCGTGAGAACATTTTCACAGGGGTGTGAGGTTGTGCAGGTGACCTGGCAGGGGTTTGGGTTCCAGGGCTGGGTCTATGGTTGGCGGCACCGATTTCTGCAACAATCGTGCTCCTTTGCTTAAGAATCGCCTGTCTTTCATAGTTCAATGGCAGTGGTGGCCAGTAGGTGTTCCAATTAAGTATGGCTGTCACCTTTTCCATACTCCCTTGCAATCCCCAGAAGCTTGGTCAGCATGTCTGAATAAGAAGAAATGTATGTATTTCTTTTATAAGTAGGATGACTATGTAAATTTTTTTGGGTCCAGACAAGGACATTTCTGAGAGTAAAAAGGGAGCACCAGATCAAGAACTATATAACCCGGGGCTCTCCCAGGAAAACGGTGAAATGTGGTTGTCTTAACTATGACCCAAGTCATTAGTTTTTTTTTTTTTAAATATTTTTATTGAATTTTAGAGAGAGAGAATAAGGGAGATGGAGAGAGAGAGAGAAGCATTGATGTGAGAGAGAAATCAGCTGCCTGCTGCACACCCCGTACCAGGGATTGAGCCTGCAACCTGGGCATGTGCCCTGACCAGGAATCGAACCAGCAACCTTTCTGGGCATGGGTGGTGCTCAGCCAACTGAGCCACACTGGCCAGGGTGTCATTAGCTTTTATACGAAGAATACCTGTAGGATAGAAAAATGTCCTTAGCTTCTAGATTAGTTCATATGTGTGTGTGTGCATGCATATATACTTATATGTATATGTTTATATAAACATTGATCATATATCTGTAGATATGTATATTGTGGGGTTGAGATGAACCAGTTAAGAAGGCCTAGTCCAGCGGTTCTCAACCTGTGGGTCGCGAACAATGAAAATACATCCTGCATATCAGATATTTACATTACGATCCATAACAGTAGCAACATCACAGTTATGAAGTAGCAACGAAAATAATTTTATGGTTGGGGGTCACCACAACATGAGGAACTGTATTAAAGAGTCGCGGCATTAGGAAGGTTGAGAACCACTGGTAGTCATTTGGAAAACTGTGGCCTTCATCATCTCTTTCAAGGATTGACTTTTCAGCTAAACTGTCAGCAACCAGCCTTTCCAAACTTGAGTTCATCTCCTCCCCTGGGTAATTATAATACCGATCCCGTTGGTATAATTTTCTTGCTTGAAAATCTTCGCCAGCTCTCCATTTTCTGTTTAAGTCTCAAGGTGAGATCCGCAGACAGTTTGGTGAAAGAAAAATCAATGAAAAGTTTCATTCATTCATTCCACTACTATTTATTGAGCACCTCCTGTGATTCAGTCTCTGATCTAGTTGCTGGGAAATACCAATGAGTAAAACAAAGATCCCTGCCCTTGTGAAGTTTTCTTTCTATTGGGAATGGAGGGGTGGGAGTGGGAGACAGATAATAAACCAAATAAATAAGTAAATTACATGGCATGCCAGGTAAGGAGGCAAGTGCTTTGAGAAAAAGAGAAAGTAGAGCAAGGTAAATATGGTTGAGCAGGCTTCATGGTGAAAGACCTTAACAAAGACTTAAAACAGCGGTTCTCAACCTGTGGGTCGAGACCCCTTTGGCGGTCGAACGACCCTTTCACAGGGGTCGCCTAAGACCATCCTGCATATCAGATATTTACATTACGATTCATAACAGTAGCAACATTACAGTTATGAAGTAGCAACGAAAATAATTTTATGGGTGGGTCACAACATGAGGAACTGTATTTAAAGGGCCAGAAGGTTGAGAACCACTGACTTAAAAGGAAGCGAGAGGGGTTACTCATGTAGATACCTGAGGGTGGGTGTTCCAGGCAGAGGGAACAGCCATTGCGAAGGCCCAAAGGTGAGAATGTTCAAAGGCTAGCAAGATGGGGTGGGGTGACCAGGCGGGTAGTTGGAAATGAGATCAGAAAGGCGGTGTAGGAGTGACAGAGCGTGTATGAGAGTGTTTGTGATTGTAGCAGAAAGCCCATCATGTTCTTAAAACTCACAATATTAAACATGGTGTCTGTGCCATGAACCCTGCACTGGTTAGCATAGCTCACATTACCCAGGGTGCCCTTTATCTTGGTTAGTATACTGCTTATATCACTTGCTTGTTCATTTGTTAAAATACCATTTTGGTTGTCGCTGGTCTTAAGTGGGCTCCCCATTTCACAAAAATACATCAGCGGCTCAAAAGTGGTTCATGGAAGAGTGGCAATAGTGATGAAGATAGTCATGCTAATGCCACAGTTCAGTGCATCATAAACATACTTAGAGACCCGAATCTCACTGCAAATAGAAAATGCGAATCTCTGTGTATAAAAACAAGGGAATCTGTGGGAGCAACAATTTCAAAACAGTACCTGAAATTGACAAGTGCCAATGGCAGTGTGACAATGATCTCAGAACTGTTTATCGTAGGGTTTACCATCCCTTTGCTCCTACTCCCCAGTCATCGCCTGTTATGAAACGTTGTCTAATCATGGCACGAAGCCATGGGTGTTTTGGTGTCATTTTCAAACAAAGCACAGTGGCTTCTCTGTTACGCGATTGAAGTTTTCCAGGACACGCCCACAATAAAAGCTTTCCATGACAAAATTAATGTATGCCATTGCTGCATGTAGGGAAGAGACTAGAACTCTGGTGGCATTGTTAAAGGATCCTTGGAGCAAAAATGAGTCATATTATTGAAAAGACACTTGGAAAGTCAGCGGGGAGGTTAAAGACACATATTATCCTTAGAAACCAGAAGTTATTGACAGAATTCCTTTGTCAAATGACACGGTTGGCTGTTGCATAACATCAGTGGAGTAAGAGTGAGAGAGCGATTACTATCAAGTACATGCCAGTGGGTATTTCGCTTTATGGCTGGATGAAACCACCGGTGTCATGCAGAGGATGAATCAGCTCTTGGCATCTGTTCAGGGAGGAGTGCTTGGCTTTGTTCATTTATCACCGAAAACCCGAGCGATGAGGCAAAGAGGTCTTTCTTTTCGTGAACCATTATGCATGAACCTGGAAGAGTTAGTCAGGGGGCAGGACGACAGTGCACTGGTTTTATGTTCAGAGAAGAAGGTGGTGGCTTTGTGAAGAAAGGAAGTTGCACCTAGAAGCCCATCCGCAGGCTGCTCCATTCACAGAGAAGGTAAAGGGCCTCTGAACTTGAGGAGATACTAACAGGAAGAGGGGAAACTGGATGCAGTGACATTGGGATCCCTGAATAGGTGAGTGCAGTGATGGGCAGGG